TGATAAGGGGACAGAACCACTGCAGCCAGGTCCTCCCAAATGCACCAACCAATGGACAGGACAATGGAGGGAGGCTTGGGGTGAATGTTAATGGCATTTCCTCCTTGTTGAAGAAAGCATAAGGGAAGTGACCTCATAGGGTTAACAAGAATTTGAAATATCCAAAAGAAATTTATGGATACAATTAAGCATTCTTCATGCCGCACTTTGACCCATTTGTAACCAAAATTCATGTAACACGGGATACTGACCATTTGTATCCCCATTGTTCCTATAGATATGATTCTAGTTTTTAAGATAGTATCTCTGACACTAGAATCATAAGATTCTGTTGAAGAATTACTTAAGCAGATCCTGGATTCTGGTGGAACAACTGACACCAACCAGTTTAAAGACCCCCACAGACGAACAAAATCAGCAAGAGAATACCGTTTCTTCATCTCCCTGTCCCATGACTTCACCCTGCACTTTTCAACCAGTCAGTGGTCTCCACACTTTGGCTCACTCCAAAACCCTTAAAAACCCTATCCCTAAACTCCTCTGGCAGACAGATTTGAGTTTTCTTCATGTCTTCTTAGTCGGTGGCCCTAAGATTAAACTTCTTTCGCTGCTGCAGCCCAGTGTCTCAGTGTATTAGTCTGTTTATGTTGCTGTAAAGGAATACCTGAGAAGGGCAATTTATAAAGAAAAGAGGTTTATTTTGCCCCAGGGTTCTGTAGGCTATACAGGAAGCATGATGCTGTCAGCCACTTCTGGTCAGGGTTTCAGGAAGCTTACGATCATGGCAGAAGGTGAAGGGGAACCAGCGTGTCACACGGAGAGAGACGAAGCGAGAGAGATGCCAGACTCTTAAAATAGCCACCTCTCACATGAACTAATAGAGTGAGAACTCATTACCACAGGGAGGGCACTTCATGTGGGATTTGCCCACATGACCCAAAGGCCCCACCTGCAACATTGGGGATTACATTTCAACATAAAATTTGGAGGGGACACACATCCAAACCATAGCACTCAGTATATTGACTTACCACATGCATAGGACAATGAACCTATTATGCTTTCATAAGGAGCGGGAACCACGCGTCTGCTCCATCACCTACCCGCCACCAACCCCTTTAGACAAGCCTCCTCTGGGTGACCCAAGTAGGCATTGGGTTCCTCTCCTATGACTGGAAATTTCTCTCCTTTCCAATTTCCTTTATACCTACTGCTCATTCTTCACCACCATTTCAACCATCTTCACCCAGTAGAATGGGATCATGATGATACTCTAATGACCATTCCTTTCTCACCTCCTTATATAGCTAAAACATCATCCAGCTTTTCTTTTTTTTTGAGATGGGGTCTTGCTTTATTGCCCAGGCTCGAGTGCAGTGGTGTGATCTTGGCTCACTGCAACCTCCACGTCCCAGATTCAAGCAATTGTCCTGCCTCAACCTCCCCAGTAGTTAGGATTATAGGCCTGTGCCACCAAGCCAGGCTATTTTTTGTATTCTTATTAGAGATGAGGTTTCACCGTGTTTGCCAGGCTGGTCTCGAACTCCAGACCTCAAGTGATCCACCTGTTTCAACCTTCCAAAGTGCTGGAATACAGGCATGAGCCACTGTGCCTGGCCATCATTCAACTTTTTAACCCAGAAAAGATGGAAGGCATGTATTTCTCTAAAACAGACTGGAAAACTACAGGCTGCCACTTGTTTTTGTAAACAAAATTTTACTGGAACACAGCCACACTCATTAGTTTACATATTTTCTGTGGCTGCTTGTGGCTACAATGGTGGAGTTGTGAAGTTGTGACAGAGACCTTATAGGCTGCAAAAACTAAAATGTTTGCTGTCTGGCCCTTTACAAAAAAAAAAAATTGCCAACTCATCAGCTAAAATATAGATGGATTTCATGTCAGTCCTTTAAGTTCTGAAAGAGCTTCATTAGTATGTATATGTAGCCTTTATCATTTACTCACTCTAAATAAAAGCTACATTTGAAACAAAGAGAATTGCATGGCTGTATTATAAGGACAATTTTTTCGTCTTGTAAAATAGTTTCTAGTCTTGCAAACTTCTTGAAAAATATGAAGGAGACTGTGTGTTTGCTTTGAAGGACCAGAAGGAAGAATAGAGTCTTGCACTAGTCAGAAGTATCATTAGAAAGGGAAGAAAACAGATAATCTGTGGGGCCTATGAAAGCAAAAAGGAGTAATGAAAACTGCAGGACAAGAAGGCACAAGATCCTGACTTCAGAGCTCCCTGTCAGAGCCCTTGGCTTCTCTCTTCACACCCTGTTCGCTAACTCAGAGTCTAGATTCCTCCCACCTTGGTCCTCATGCATTGGAACTTTTCACCAGACCATAGAATCCCCAGAGATGTCAGGAGACGGTGGTCTGCTCCCACTGTGACAGCTTTCTATGTGGGAGATCTTGGGCAGGCCACTGAGTGCTTCTGCCCCTTTGGGTTCACTCACCTGTAAACTGGTGGGTGGGTAGAGTTATCCTACTGGGCATGCCCAACGGTAATCAAATGTGATGTGTTTTAAAAGCCTATATGAAAGATAAGGTATTATGAAATTGTCAGTTTTTGTTTTTGTTAAAATGTCTGAGTTGCAAATGAAATTTTTTAATCTATCTAACATACAAAGTTAACTGATATGTGGAAACTAAACTACCTTATTTCATATTTCTCACATCCATTTTTGCTTATTTATTGTTATAGTATTTAACTTTTATATGGGTTAGAGAAAATATAGAAAATAACTGAATTTTTACCATAATGAAATAATTCTTCAGTGGGTGGAAAAAAACTTCAAAAATTACATTTCATTGTGACCCATTTTTTATTGTTTGTTGTTTGTTCAGCTTTCATTTTTATGCCTTTGTTTACAGAGAAACAATCTTGCAGATGGCAATTTTCCTTGTAATCAGTTATTGTCCTATCTGAGTCATCGCCAGACATGGCATTACAGTAAATAGTGATTCTGAAATTGCTTCCAGGCAGATGTGTTGTGTAAAGTTAAGAACACTGGCTGATAACCTTTCTGGTTGTTCAAGCAGTAGGGAGAAAGTTTTGAATAGATATACACCTTGAAATCAGAAAATGGCAAAGGAAGACAGACTTTGTGCTGTATGATTTTAACCAAATATAGTGTTTGTGTAGCTATGGATGGAACACTTTTTAAAAGATAAATAACATTTATTTGAGTAAAGGACCTTTTATAGTGAACTAGATGTATTTTCTTAGAAACACCATGCATGTGCATTGTTAAACACAACCTTGACCTTGTTGTACAGACATTTGTATTGCCTTGGCCACTCAGGTTGCTGTGGTCTCACGTGTGTGACTAAGCAAACCAAACTCCTCTATGTATTGGTTTCTCCAGTGTAAATTGGAGGTTCTCTTATCCCTCACTTTCAGACATGGGATATTTCTTTGTTTCACAAATATGTTTTTACAACAATGTATGCTCAAATATAGTTTTTATCATGTATCATAAAGTATTGTCGTAGTTTTACAGTGAACTACAAAGAGAAGTTCACTAATTTATTCAATTAATGTTTACTGAACACCTATTGTGTTGCTGGGCCCTGCCCGATAATGATAATATTGCACAAAACAGAGAACAAAGTGATAGGCTGGAATATGCATTATAAATATTTTGTGGGTCATTTTATCTTAAATAAGCTACCAGTTTAGTTCTTGTTTCATGGTTTTATAATTTAACAAAATTATTTATATTTTTTATTACTTTAGTCACACTTTATTTTATATTTTATTTTATTACAATAGGTTTTGGGGGAACAGGTGGTGTTTGGTTACATGAATAGGCTCTTTAGTGGTGATTTCTGAGATTTTGGTGCACCTATCACGCAAGCAGTGTACACTGTACCCAATGTGTAGTCTTTTATCCCTTTCCACCCTGCAGCCTTTCCCCCAAGTCCCCAAAGTCCATTTTATCATTCTTTTTAACAGGCTTATGTATAATCCTTTACAATTTTCTTGAAACTCTTTCTTAATTATAGCCACTAGTAAACTAAACTTTTGTGTTGCATACGTAGAAATTAAGCTTAGACAAGATTTTACACTTTATCTCCAATCAAGACTCATGACTTTTCCTTACATTAACAAATTTCTAACCATTAGTGTCAGTTAAGCCATCATTTATTTCTTTGGTAATCTACCCTGCTGTGGACATTCCTAAGATGGCCCAATTTTATAGAAAGAACAATTTACAAATTGCTAAATTAGCATCTGAGTATACTTCAAAAAAGTAGTCTAATAGATAGTCTCTATCTATAATGTGTTAATCACAAACCATTAGCGATAACTAATAAATTAAAATGGATGAATTATTAAATTCTGCTTATACTTACCCAAGTGTGTTTATGTCTACCTTATGTCCTTCAAGCCAGCCTACTCACCAACTTAATTTAGCAGTGTAACCCTTTAGCCAGGCATTAGCCTTAGGAATCAAAATATTAACTGAAGGCGAATTCATGCATTTGTTCATTATTCTTCCCCGCTATAACGATTGTCTGGCATCGTTATATGTAATTATTACATATAAACATACACACCTACTCCAAGGCAAATCCACAGATACACAAATGCTTACAAAGGGTAAGACTTAGATGAAAAACTAATTTGGAGGACATCCATATCATAAAGAGTCTGTGTTTCAACAAAATTTGCCTTAAGTCATATGTTTTCCAAGTTTATTTGAAATATGACGTGACTTATAAAATATGAATTTATTTGATTTTTCCAGAGTAAATCTGTAGAAATAGGATATATTTAGGTTGTATGTATATGTATTTATGAATGATGTATGAGCCCCATATATAATTGTTGTTCTTAGAAAGTTAGCTTGTTTACTTTGAAACAAAGGAAATAGTGGTTTCTTCCATGATGTGAAACATATAACAAAAAATACTTCAAACAAATAGCAGGTAGTTTGGCCTCAGTAATATGGTCAAGTTTTTTAAACAAATATATTTTACTTCATAGGAGATACATCAAGTGAGCAAAGAATGTCAGCAAGAGGCAAAACTTCGGATGTAGAAGCTAACCAGTCTTTGGAGGTAAGTGAAACAAGGTTAAGTCCTTTTTGGTGAAACTGAACAAGTCACTATGATTACATATGCCTCTGGGGATGAATAGTAACTTCTGCTCTTGCTATGCCATAGTGCCTGAATACAGAGAAACAAGTGGCCTGCTGAAAGTCAGTGGATAGCAGCACAGGGAGTGACTTCCCACGAGCTAAACTCTTTTAGTGCTGGAAGTGGAAACTTTCTGTTAAAACGAAACAGAAATAGAGTCCTTAAGTTAAAACATTTAAACTATTTTTAATTGAGTGATTATTTACAAAACATTTCAGTAAATAGGCAGTACATAAACTTAGAGAGAAAGGCTTAAAAATAATCCATTCAACACACTATTGCCTTACTATTTCCAGCATCAAAGTACACTTCTTGAAAGTATTCTATAGAAAAACTAGGGTATTTGTTCTTTTTCATGTGAGAAAACTATTGGCTCTTTAAGGGCAAATGTGAAAATGTAGTTAGGATACTTTTGAATGCTATATAGAAATATACTAACGTTATTTAATCACCGAAATAATCATCTTTAAGACTTAAGGGCAATTTTAAGTACTAGGGTGGAATGATTATCTTGAAATTTGAAACTTTCTACACGGTGACACAACTCTACTTGTATTCTAGTTGTAGCACATGAGGGTATTGCTGCATACAACTAGAGGGAAGTCAGGGACCTCGCCAGTGCGATTCACCATGGTTCCTTAATGCCTAGCACATAGTAGGTGGTTGAAAAGATTTGTTAAATAAGTAAGTTAGTACAATCATGAGTTATAAGTAGAGAGTAATATTTATTTTAAGAGATACTTTTATTTTTTATATTTTTCACAGTGAGCAAATATTTTACAATCAAGGAAAAATCATCTTATTTAAAACATCTTATTTAAAGATGTGACATAGGAAGTAAATTCATGAGGAGAAAGAAAATAATCATCTTTCCCATAAAACTGTTCATTCTGTCACTTATGCATGCAACAAGTACTTATTAAGTATTGACTATACTCAAGGTGCTGTACATAGAGCTGAATGTATAATGGTGAAAGTAAGATACAAGGACAAAGAACAATGTATAGGTTATATGTTGAAGCAACTTGATCTCTTTCATTTATTCAAACATTTAGTGAGGCTGGGCGTAGTGGCCCATACCCATGGTCCTAGCACTTTGGGAGGCCAAGGAAGGAGGATCGCTTGAGGCTAGGAGTTTGCAACCAGCCTGGGCAACACTGAGAGACTCATCTCTACAAAAAATTTAAAAATTCGCTGGGTGTGGTGGCATACGCCTGTAGTCCCAGCTACTCAGAAGGCTGAGGTGGCAGAATTGCTTGAGCCCAGGAATTCAAGGCTACAGTGAGCTGTAATCGCCCAGCCTGGGTGGCAGAAACATGTAGTGAGTGCTGACCATAAGTAGCATCTCTGATAGGAAATAAAAGTGGTTATGTTTGGGATTTGAGAAACAACCACCAGGATGGTTCAAAAATCATCCGTGATTACTTGAGTTTAGTTGCTTAGTGTCTTCTTTTATCTGGGGTGTTAACAGCAAAATACCATAAACTGGATATCTTATTAATAACAGAAATTTATTTCTTTAGTTCAGGAGGCTGGAAAGGCCAAGGTCAAGGTACTGGCAGATTTGTGTCTGGTGAAGGCCCGTTTTTTTGTTTGTTTGTTTGCTCTCTGGCTGTGTTCTCACATGATAAAGGGAGAACTCTGGTCTCTTCAGCCCCTTATAAGGGCACTAATCCCATTAATGCAGACTCTCCTCTCCCACCTGTCACCTCCTAATACAATCACCTTGGGGATTAGGTTTCAACATATGAATTTTGGAGGGACACAGAACATTCAAACCATAGCACTTAGTTATGTGATTCATTGGAAATGTCTGTAGAACTTGACTATTTTTCAAAGTTGATTCATTGATAGAAAGAATTGCAAGACTAATTCTTAAGGAAAGTAGCTTTTAAGATTACAGTCCTCAGAGATTTGAAACAAACTCATTATTGTGCTACTTTCTAGTCACTCTATTAATATAGTCAGTTGTTAATCATTAGGCTGGATGTATATACTCATGCAGTAACAGATATTTCAAAAGTACTTCTATTCGAGTAGCAGAGGACAGTGCTTGCTATCAGAGATCTCACTGATGTAGAAAAAAAAGTGGAGTGGGAGACTATAAATGAGACCACAGGGTTAAATCGCAATGCAAGAAGAAAATGATACAATACTTTTAGAGGCTATATATGTTTGCCACAGAAAACTCAAGTAATAATTTACCTTGACAGTAAGCATCTAACATGGGATTCGTTATTCCTCTCCTTAAAAATACAAAAATGAAAACACTGCTGAATACCCCCTACCCTCTTTGTACCTTGTTATAGTAAAAATTAGTCTTATCCAGCCTCCTAGATTTAAACTCTGTGTAGAATTTGATGACTCCTAAAATATGTCTCTATCTAGACCTCTCCCCTGAGTTCTAGACTCTGTACCCAAATGCCTATGTAACAAATTTCTACACAATTCAGCCTTTCCTTAGCCACAGAAGAACTGTTGATACCTGGCCCCACCACCCTGAAGCTTCTCTGTGCGCAAGTTTTAATAGCCCTGTTTAATGTCACCACCTTCTATCTATATAGTGATTTAAAACCAAATACCCTGAGGTACCCTTGGCTCTTCTCTTTTCCTCACACTGCACATCCAGTCTATCAGCAAGTCCTGCCATCTTGCCCTCTATATCTGGAATGCGACTGCTTCTCAACATCATCACTGTTAGAACAGTCTAAGCTACCCCTTTTACCAGGCTCCCATCCCTTCTCCTTCAGTCCATTCTCCACATAACAGATAGAAATATGTCAGATCACATCACTCCGTGGCTTAAAAGCTGCTGACTACCCACTGTAACTGGAGTAAACACGAAGCTCCCCGGAGTGGGCTACAAGGAACTCCATACTCTCTCTCATCTCATTTCTCTCCCACCCCCATGCCCATCCACCAACTACCTGCCATTCTGTCTCTTGATGATGTTAAGCCTTTTCCTATCTTAGGCTTTGTATTTGCTCATCCTTTTTTTAAACAGAGCTTCACTTGGCTTCTTCCTTATCATTCAAGTGTCACTTTTCATGACTACCTCAGCTAATGTGTCCCTTCCCCCAGTCACTGTCACATAACCCTGTCTTATTTTCTCCATCACATTTATCACCGTCTCAGATTATTCATTTGCTGTCTGCTTCTCCTGACTAGAATGAAAGCAGACTTTGTATGTCTAGAATAGTGTCTGGTATATAGAAGGTACCCGATAAATACTTCTAACTGATCACCTAGATTTTATTTAATGTCATCATCCATCTGCCAGGTAAAAGGCCTAAATGTCTTCTTGACTCCTTCTTCTCATCCCCTCATCAAATCTATCACCAAATCGTAATGTTTCTGCCCACCAAATACCTTCCAAATATAGTTTCTCCTACCCTAGCTAGCTCCTCATCTGTTCACTAGACTATTATTAGATGAGCAGTTTCCTCCCCAAATCTCTTTCTAAAAAAGAACAGCAGGTTTTTTTTTACTTCCATGCTACCCCCTAAAATCCCTTGAAACCTGCACAGTGAAGCTTAAACCTGGAACCCTGTTCTAATGTCACTTTGTTTGTGAACCCTTTTCTCTGCTCCCCCAGCCAGAGATGACCCCAATGTCCTCTTAATGCTTATGTTGTCTTTTATGACTTCACTACAGCACAGGTTCTTGAAAGGCAGGGGCTAGGGCTTAATTCGCTTTATGACCTCAACAGCTATCATACTGTTAGATGTATGTGTTGTAACATAAATGCCCTGTCAATGATTTCTGGGTGGATAAATGAAAAAATAAATAATCCACTTATATTTATTAAATTCTGTTTTCTACTTTACAGGGTAAACACACAACTATATCCTTTCTCACCATAAACAATTTTTCTTGCATTTCTTTGGAGTTCCCCATTAAAAAAATCTATTAATTTACCTTATTTTTGGTACTCTTACTACATTAGCAGGGAAAAGTTTAGTAACTTCAGTTAGTTTTTAAAAATATACATCTGATTAAGAAATCATAACTATTATGTTAACTGGAAAGATTCAAATTACTTTAATTTTTTTTTTTTTTTTTTTTTGAGACGGAGTTTCGCTCTTGTTACCCAGGCTGGAGTGCAATGGCGTGATCTCGGCTCACCGCAACCTCTGCCTCCTGGGTTCAGGCAATTCTCCTGCCTCAGCCTCCTGAGTAGCTGGGATTACAGGCATGCACCACCATGCCCAGCTAATTTTTTGTAGTTTTAGTAGAGACGGAGTTTCACCATGTTGACCAGGATGGTCTCGATCTCTTGACCTCGTGATCCACCCTCCTTGGCCTCCCAAAGTGCTGGGATTACAGGCGTGAGCCACTGCGCCTGGCCAATTATTTTAATTTTTAATGACTATATAAGCAATGTTGAAATATTCTCTATAATGAAAACATAAATAGTATGGGTTCCATAATGTTTGTAGTTGCCAAAATATAACTCACTTTTCTAAGAACCCTTTAGAGAAGGTGGTTTTTAGTATACCAAAAGAGGTTTTTTTGGCAAGTTCAGGTAAACGTATAGATTGCCTCTTTATTTTCAAGGAATTGTGTTAGGCACAGGGGTAGGGAGGATACAAAGATATGTAAGTCTCAGTGACTCTGACTTATTGATGCAGGAATTCTCAATCTATTCATGGAAAATTTTTTTTCTTTTTTTTTTTCATGGGAGCTCCCTAACATTCATGGAAAATTTAACAAATCACAGTAATGTAAAGTGAAATAAAATAAGTTTCTTAAAATTCATAACTACAAAGATAACTGTGAGATTTTGATGGAAGAAGGCTATTGTCTGGGGGAGTCAAAAAACACATCATGCATTAGATGAGCTTTGAACCATGAATAATTTTGTCTGCTTATATGATTCATTTTTTATGATTAAGAAGCTCCTGGGAAATGAAATTCTTCAT